ACGGGCTCCCGGACCGATCGTACCCCCCTTGCGGGTTTGGCGCAACGCCTCCCCCCCTGCTTCCCCTTCCCCCTCCCCCTCCCCCCATCATCTGACCGCCGCCGTACGCGCCGCCATCGTCACCGCCGAACCCGCCGCCGCCGTAGCCTGTGGGTGTTTGCGCCGCGCTGCTGCGCTTGAGCGCGGATTTTAGCAGCGGCTGTTGCGGCAGCGCCTGCTGCATTCCCTGCATGTTCATCGAATCCTCCCCGCCCGCGCCCGCGCCCGCGCCCATGGGGGACCGCGACCGGCTTGCGGCGCTTGCGGACTTGCGTATCCCGCTTTGCGCGGGGCTTCCGCTTCTGCCCGCTGCACCTGCCCCGCGTCCCCCGCCCGCCCGTCTGCGCGCATCGACTTGCGTCAGCGATCGTCCCAGCTGCTCCTCCCCGCTTCCATCTCCCCCCCCTCCGCCTCCCCCTCCCCCTCCCATCCCCCCCCCTTGCTGCGGAAAACCCGCCGCGGGTCTCCCCCGCGGCTTGCTCCCCATCGTCATCGACCGTCCGAGATCCGATTCCGTCGGATCCTCGTCATCGTCCGGATGCGCCTGTTGCGGCGGCGCTCTCTGCTGACGTGGCTGCGCGGCGCGGACATTTTGCTGCTTCCCCGGGGCCTTACCGACCATGGAGAGCGTTCGGTTAAATCGCGGCGCGGCGGCGGGCTCCATGTCATCGTCGTCGTTCATCTTGGATTGCGATGGACGGTGGATCATGGAGTTGATCCGACTGAATTGCTTCTCTTGGCCGCCCTTGCTAGGCCCATCGCCGCGAAGTTTGGTAACCGTTGTTCGTTCGCCGGGTGCTTTTTTGCGAACGACGGGTCGATCCTCGGATGTGTCTTTTAGCGGGACGGTTCGCGTCGAGCCTTCGCGCGCCCGACGCTGCGGGGCGGGGCCCCGCTCCATCTCCACCAGCTCTTAGCTAAAAGCAACGACTTCGTCAGTAAGTTCAGCCATGAAAACCCTAATCGATCACCTAAGGTGTCATCCAGTCGCGAACAACGCGCAATGTGACCAAGATCTTGGAGAAATTTAAAGAGTTCAACAAGTAAGGCTGTCACAGAAAACCCTAGGAAGGAATATAGGCAATGCGGTAGGACACGAACTCCACCTGAACAAGAAGTGCAACTTCGTGAGTTGTGAGCAGTGGGTAGAGATGGAGATGGAGAGGCGAAGGAGGTGGTGGATGGCTGGTGTGGGACGGACGGATGACCAGAGGCCTGAAGCCAGGGTCCTCGAGGTGCACGCTTTTGGCGGCAAGCAAGAGGGTCGCTGATTTGAAGAGACGAGGCACTCAGGCAGGCAGGCAGGCAAGGAAGAGGAGATATCAAGGGAGGATTGATTGGGCGGTGAACAATATCAATGCTGCTTTGGTAAGTGTGGTGGGGGGAGTCTTGTTTCTTAGTCAGAGTGGCGACCAGACAGTTGAGTGCCTGAGAATTGACACAAATTGTAAGCATTGTACTTAGCCAAAACGTACGGTTGATAGGCCTTTCCTTGCAGTTGGTGGGGGTTACACTAGGGTCGTAGCTTGTTAGCGTTGCTACATTTTGGTGATACAAAGGTTTGGAAACACCTGCCTTATTTGCTCCTCCTATGATAAAAAAAAAGGTTCTAAACCTGATTGGAAGTCATTTCCGTTGTTACATATCTATTTCGAGCAAAAAAAATGTAAATAGTTGCTTGTCGTGATAGATAGCGAGAGGTTTAGGAGCAGGCAAGGTGAAGAGAGGAAATGGGGCTTTGGATTAGGGTTGAGATAAGTCAACACTGTTACGATATGGAACAGTTGAATAAACATTCCTGAGTAGCAAATCGTTAACACGAAGATGACTGCAGCGAAGACGAAAGAATGAGCGACGAGACAGTTATCGAGACAGTTATAAGCAGGATGAATTTGAAGTGCAAAGCGCGAGAAATGTTCAGACGTTTATTCGACCGCGTACGGTTGCCGAACCGCACGGTTGCAATGCTTCATCTATATTAGCCCTAAGGGGAATGTACCCCCTCAGATGTCAGAATGAGGAATGCATGATGCCATTGATGTTGGTTGGGGTACATATAACAAACCCTAACTTCTGTACCCCCTAAGACAAACCTCACTATAGGCTACAACATTTGACACACCCCCATAGCCTAAGTGAGGGGTGTCTAGCAAAATAAAAAGAGTACGGTCACAAGACCAGTCCAAAAGAAAACAAAGCTCAGGGTGGATCACAACGTCACCACACACTCTGAGCACAAGCAACAGTGGCCACAAGGCCAGTCCAAGAGATCACAAGTATATATAGCAAGAGTACAGACGAAGCAGCCAATAAACTCAAGCCTACACATGACTAGAACCTGTGTCAACAAGGCCTAACTGCACACAACACCTCTGGTGGTCACGAGGCGGAAGCGCCTTGGTGAAGATGTCTGCAGTGTTGGCCTCGGACTCCACAAACTCGAAGCGAGCCTGTCCACGCCTCTGCAACTCTCGCAGAAGAAAGTACCTGACGTGAATGTGCTTCACTCTGCTCTCCAGTCGCGGCTCACGACAGAGGAGGATCGACGCCTTGTTGTCAGTGAACAAGGTCGGTGCAGAGCTCGGCCGCTCACCAAGGTCGGCGAGCAAGAAGGTCAACCACCGCAACTCCTGTGCCGCCATGGCACCAGCGTAAATCTCAGCCTCAGCTGTAGATGTCGAGACAGAAGAGGAGCGCGTGGAACGCCAGGAAACAGCTCCAGAACCCAGACTGAAACAGTACCCCTGAGTAGACCTGTGAGTCTCAGCGTCGTCAGCGTAAGAGGAGTCACAGTGACCAGTGAGTACGACAGACTGCTGCCCTCCAAGAACTAGCCCCACGCCTGATGTAGTCGCTAGGTACTTCGCCACCCTCACAGCTGCCGTCCAGTGAACAGGACGGTGTCTCCCTGGCGCAACAAAACGCGCAAGGATGCTGAGAGGGAAGGCGAGGTCCGGGCGAGTACTAGTCATCAGGTACATGAGGCAACCCACAAGCTCTGCGTAGGGACCACTAGGCTCAAACGGCTCGTCAGGAAAGGGACCAGTGAGTCTGTGGTCAACAGCGAGAGGTGTGCGCTGTACGGTGGAGTGCTGAAGCCCGAACCGCTGAAGGACCTGCTGCACCATGTGTGACTGTGAGAGTGTAATGGTGCGAGCAGCTCTGTCCCTGGTGATCTGCAGGCCAAGGTAGTGGCGCAGCTCACCAAGATCAGTGCACGTGTGTCTCTTCTGCAGTTCGGACTTCACGTCTGCCAAAGCAACCCTGTCCGAAGTGGCGAAAACGAGGTCGTCGACGTAGACCAGAACAAAGAACGGTGTGGAGCCACGACGAACGAACAGCGACGGGTCAGCAGAAGACGGCTGGAACCCAAGGTCAGAGAGGGTAGAACGCAGAGTGTCGTGCCACTCACGAGGGGCCTGGCGAAGACCATAAACAGGTCGCCTCAGCCTCCACTGGGTCCCAGGAGGGAAAGTGCCAGTGAAGGCCGAGGGACGACGCAACCAGACCTCCTCGTGTAGGCTGCCCTGAAGGAAAGCAGTGGAGAAGTCGAGAGAGTGTAACTCGTAGTCTCTCTGTGCTGCTACGTGTAGTAACACCCGAAGAGTGGTCATCTTCGGGGTAGGTGCGAAGGTCTGAAAGAAGTCAACTCCCTCGCGCTGACTGAAACCTCTAGCCACGTAGCGCGCCTTGAAGACCGGGGGAGATCCCGGTGGCCGCTTCACCCTGTAGATCCACATGCCGTCGACTACGTTCGCCCCAGGGGGGGGAACCTCATCGACGTAGGTGCCTGTGGATCTGTAGGAGGCCATCTCTGCGTCCATGGCAGCTCTCCACTGAGAGGCCCAAGGCCCTGACACTGCCTCAGCGTAAGTGCGAGGAGTCCGAATGTCAAGGGCGTCGGGGTCACCCTCAGGGGCGAGGAGCATGGCACAGAGATGAGGGGAAGCGGCCGCCAGGAACTCTAGCTCAAACTGCCTGTCCTCTAGGGCGTCACAGCCAAGGGCAGACACACCCCCGACGACCAGAGGACTGGTAGGAGGAGCAGTCACAAGCGTGGTGGCGTAGTCAAGGCGGCGGGTAGAGGCAAAGTCAGTAACCGCGGCAGTAAGAGCGGACACAGAGGACACAAAGACACGAGGGTGAGTAACAAGAGAGGCGAGAACACGAGAGAGAACAGGACGGTACGTGCGGTAGTAGTCAGTGACAGGAGTAGGGAGCGACACAGTGAGGGCCGACTCAGGAGGAGACGGAAGTACAGACTGAGACGGACGAGGTGGACTAGAAAGAAGGAAAGCAGTACGAAGGTCAGTGAAGGGAACAGGAGACGAGGGACGAGCACGAGGGGAGCGACGAGTAGCCCAAGAACGAGACGGAGGAGGAGAGGACAAAGGCGGAGAACTGGGGAAAACAGCGGGGGAGGAGTCAGGAGGAGGAAACGTGGGACCGTAGACAGGAGGAGAGGCGGAGGAGGGAGGAGAAGGGGAGGGGAGACCAAGGGTCCGAAGACCCGAGACAGGAGGAGGAAGTGGCTGCTGCTGCTGCGGCTGCGACTGCTGCTGCTGCGGACGCGGCTGCTGCTGGGACTGCTGCTCCTGCGGCTCCAGCTGCTGCTGCTGCTCCTCCAGCCGCTGTAACTCCCTCTCCTCTCTCTCCAACGCAAGCTGCTCGTCACGGGCACGGCGAACACGAGCCTGGTGCCTAGTCGGGTAGGGGTGGGGGGGTGGAGTAGCGTCCGAAGCAGCGGCAGCTCCAGAGTCCACCCCAGAAGAACTAGGCGCACCACCCCCAGAGGCAGCACTAACACCAGCTCCAGACCCAGGCTCACCTGAACCCGAAGGAGGCGCACCCTCACCCCCAGACGCAGCACCCCCAGATGCGAAACCGCGACGCAACACCAGGGGACCCTGTCCAAAGACTGGTCGGTGACACCTCTGGTCGAGAGACACGTGGCCAGAGGTTCAGCTGGTGCGCGGCGTACCTGACCGCGTAGGGCCACAGAAAATGGGGGGCACAGGCGTGAGTCAGGGAGGTGCGGGCGATCTCCATGACCAGGCCTATGCGGCGCTCAGCAACCCCATTCTGCTGTGGGGACTCTGGAAGCGTCTAGGACTGACGAATGCCCTGCTCGCGACAGAATCCAGCGAGAATGCCGGAGCGAAACTCACCCCCACGGTCGGAGTGGAGACAGCTGACACGACGACCACGAGTGTCCTCGGTGGTGAGCAACCACCTGATCAGCGTAGAAGTCACCTCAGACTTCTTCGCCAGAGGGAACACTGTGGTGTAGCGGGAGAAGTCGTCAACGACCACCAGAAAGTAACGCTCACGCTCAGGGCCTAGACGAGGGGCGGGGCCCCAGACGTCCAAGTGAAGCGTCTCAAAAGGCTCGGTGGCCGGACGTAGGGAGGAGGAGTGAGGGGTGGCGCACAGCCGACCCTCGACGCAGGGACCACACGGCGGCGCAAACGAAGGCGGCAGCGACGGCAAGACACGTGGGAGGCCTAGGACAAGACGCTGACTGGACATAGCGCGCAGACGAGGAAGGGACGGGTGCCCCATCCGGTGGTGCCACAGAACGGTGGGGTGGGCAAGCGACCGGCAGGAGCACGACGCAGCGACTGGAACAGACGTAGGAACCAGACACGACACAAACACCTGGGGGGACGAAGCAACCTGGTGAGACGCGGGGACCCGAACGGGGGGGGGGACCGGGGGCAGTGGCAGTAGGGGGGGCTGGTGGTGCGGCCGCTGGTGCTGGTGCTGCTGCTGCTGCTGCTGCTGCGGCTGCGGCTGCTGCTGCTGCTGCGGCTGCTGCTGCGGCGCACGCGGGCCAGTGTGAAGAGTGTAGAGACCCGAGCCCGGCTCAGCAGTAAAGGTAGCAAGAGGCTGGTAAGAGTCTCCGTCAACACACACCGCAGTCTCTCCAGAAGGCTCAAACCACACACCCACGTGCTGACTCACGAGGGGTCGCACGCCCACCAAGTTCCGGGAGAACGAGGGGACGTGAAACCCAGTGAGAGACCCGGAGGGAGCAGCAGGACACGGTAAAGTGGTAGTGTGACGTGCAGTGACTGGTCCCGTAGTGGGATCAGCCAACGCAACAGAAACAGGCGCAGGAAGTGGTGTAAGTGTCGTGCTGTCCCGGAAGAAGCAGTGGGAGGCTCCAGAGTCCAGCGTGAACGACAGCGAAGCGTCCTCTGAGGTAGTCGCTGGTCTAGAGTCTACACAAGAACCTACACTAGCAACAGGCAACTGAGCAAGACTAGCACCTAAGCTAACAACACCAGAGTAAACAGAGTCAGAAACACTAGAGTCAACAACAGCATACATAGCATGAGGAGCACTAATCAGATCAACTAACTGCTCAGCAGACATGCCCCACAGAGCGGAGCCGTAGCGCTGAACCAGAGGAAGCCAGTCAGGAGCAGGACCGCCAACCCCGTAGGCCAACCGGACCGTGTCAGTGAGCTGAGCAAAGCACTGACCAGGGGGGTGAAAGCGGCCACAAGGGTGGCCCCGACGAGGACCTGTCAGAACCTGGTAGGGGCAGGGAGGGTAAGCAGTACCGCGCTGGGGCTGACGCAGCCCCGACCCCGGAGCCAGCTGCTGACGCTGCTGCTGCTGAGGCTGCTGGGAGGAAAGGGGCTGCTGCTGCTGCTGAAGGTGCTGCTGCCGCTGAGCCTGGTACCACGCCGCTGCTCCACCTAGCGGGGCCGGCAGTACAGGAGGCGACTGACGAGCTCGGGGGTCGCCGCCACCAGCAGGCGCAGTGGAGTCACCACCCGCTGCACGAGGGGTCTCTCCAGACGCTGCACTCCCACCACCGCCAGTCGCAACAGCACCCCCACTACCTCCGCTACCTCCACCTCCACCTCCACCAGAACTACCTTTCTTGCCCCCCTTGCCGCGGGACCGCGACGCAGTCGTAACAGCAGCCGCAGTCGCGTCAGTAGCGGCAGTGGCGAGAGAGGCAGTGAAGGTGGGTAACTGCGGGACTGTGCACCCGTGGAAGAGTGGGGGGGACACAGTACCAGAGGCGGCAGCTACCGAGCGAAGGTTGCTCTCGACGTCCTTGAGTGCAGACTCAAGGACCTCGATAGTCAGCTCACTAGGGTGCTTCAGCAGAAGCGCGTCACGAACGGAGGCTAGGCGGTCAGGGAGGCTAGTGGCGATGAAATAGACAGTAATCGCCATGGGGGGAGGAAGCAGTGCAAGCTGTGCCTTAGTGCAAGCAGCGCGGTAACTAGCGTCGAGCGAGCGGAGGTGAGCGATCAAGTCAGCAGAGCGCTCAAACGAGGCGAGATCAGGAAACAGGAACGGGAGGAAAAGACGGCCAAGTGAGACAGTAGCGGGAGTAGAGTAGCGGGCCTTAATCGCAGTGAGGTACGCAGCAGCGGTGCGAACCTGAGTAAAGTGGACCTCCTCTGACTCAGGGAGGAGGCTGCTGAGTGCGATGCAGGCCGCAGCGTCACGCGACGTCCAAGCCGTCCGGTCAGCGCGCTGACGGGCAAAGCGAGCCGTAGCAGCGTCGTCAGGGGCAGAGCCTAAAGCTGTAGGCTCGGGGGGCTCGGGGAGGTCACCAGTAGCGTGCGACCAGAGGGTCTCGCCCCCCTGGACCTGACTCTCTAACAGACGGCGAGCGCGAAGAAGCCAGACGGAAAAGTCAAGGGGTCTACCGTCAGCGTCGAAACGAAGAACTCGCGGAGTCGCCATAGTGAGAACTAACGCAAACGAACAGGCGAGTAACAACCGGGAGGAAGAGGACTCAGTCGCAGCAGAAGAGCGGGCTAGGGCGACGGGCCAGGGCGTAGGGTAGGGCAACCGGCCAGGGCGTAGGGTAGGGCAACGGGCCAGGGCTTAGGGTAGGGCGACGAGCCAGGGCGTAGGGAAGGGCGACGGGCCAGGGCGGAGGGAAGGGCGACGGGGCAGGGCTTAGAGTAGGGCGACGGGCCAGGGCTTAGAGTAGGGCGACGGGCTAGGGCGTAGGGCAGGGCGACGGGACGGGAGAAAGGGCGGGAGCGACGCGACGGGGCAGGGCGACGTGACGGGGCAGGGCGACGGGACGGGGCAGGGCGACGCGACGGGGCAGGGCGACGCGACGGGACAGGGCGACGGGACGGGGGGGAACGGGCGGGCACGACGCGACGGGGGGGAACGGGCGGGCACGACGCGACGGGGGGAACGGGCGCGACGCGACGAGGGGAAAGGGCGCGACGCGACGGGGGGAAAGGGCGCGACGCGACGGGACAGGGCGACGCGACGGGGGGGGGGGGAAAGGGCGCTAGGTAACGGGGAGAAAGGGCGCTAAGCGACGGGGGGAAAGGGCGCTAGGCTCGGTACTAGGCGCGGTAACAACGGAACTGGTACGAACGAGAGGTAGGGTCAGGCTCGGGAGGTACGAACGGAGAACGGAGGAACGGGATCCCACAGGATCCTAACCTAGCTGATACCATGTCAGAATGAGGAATGCATGATGCCATTGATGTTGGTTGGGGTACATATAACAAACCCTAACTTCTGTACCCCCTAAGACAAACCTCACTATAGGCTACAACATTTGACATCAGAGTACATGGCTAGCTAGGACCTTTCGCATTCCAATGTATTCCTATATAAACCCTTGTACTGCACTGTAATAGTCACTTCTGTCGAGATTCAAATCTCCTTCTACTGACAGAGTTCGTACCCGACATTACCTAGCAATCTTCCGCTGCTACACTGCGTGCGATCAACCTGGGACGATCCTATAAGACGGTTCAGATTGTATCAGACATAGACTCACGACCCCTTATTGACCGTGACACCATACTACCTGACCGCACATATCCCCAAAGCCCACTACAGTGAATCCACGCCCATCAGCCCCTCGGACTTACCTGCTCCAAGCCCTCCAGCAACATTTTTCTCACCGCCTCATCACTCGCCACGCCCAGACCTCCCAGAAGAAACAGCAGAAACATATGATGTCACCGCACCACTCGTTAACATCACAACAGTCACTCCAACCACAGCTCGTGATATAATTATTGCTCTTGGACTCTCCATCTCACCACAACCCACTGAATGAGACATAGCCAACTTCATTGCATTTTACACACGCTCTCCTGCTCTACGAGCTCAACCTGATATCTGACACAAACGCCCAGGTCACCCCTCTCAGGAAGTCCTCAACGACTGCATTCCCGCGCAAGTATTTCTTCAAGGAACCCTCCTCCGCCCAGACGGCACTCCCGTTTCAGTCAACACTACTCGTCGCACAGACTGTGACATATGCCCTGAAGTCGCCCTCACACATCAGCCCTTCAAACTCCTCGAACTAGGGACCAACCGCTACGAAAAGCTTGAGAAGGTCTACAACGAATTTCTCGTGCTCACTCAAACCGGCCTCAACAGCGAAGAATATACTCTCACCTTCGTCGACGCTCACTACCGCCTCGTCTGGGTCGCCAACGTCTCCCACAGGAGCAAGGCGTATGAGATCTTCAAGGTGTGGCACACAAACGCAGAGACTAAGTCTGGCTGCACCCTCAAGCTCTGGCAAACTGACTGCGCAGCCAAGTTCAAGAGTGTCAAAAGGCAGGCCTACATGAACGAGAAGGGCATAATTCACAAGCTCTCCCTTCCCTACGCCCATCCCCAACAAGGCGTTGCGGAACGCACCAACCGAACCCTCATGACCAAGGTTCGCACACTCCTGCACCAGAGCGACGTCGACGCGAAGTACTGACCTTACGCCATGCATTACGCTGTCCGTCTGCACAACCTGCTCAGCACCACTGCCAACACCGACAACCTCTCGCCTCACCTCCAATTCACCGCCAAGCAAGGCGATATCTCCATGCTCCGCGTCTTGGGTTGCATGGTACAGTATCGATCTGCAGCGGTGACCACGGGGAATTTCGAACGTCGCGCCCGCTGGGGTATGCACCTCGGCATCAGCTTTGAGCACCACGCCTGGAACATCCTCGATCATGACACCTCACAGATCGTCGCGGCGCGCGACGTCATCTTCTATGAAGACCTCTCCATCCGCAAGTTCCAGTGCGACCACCATGCTGATCGTGTCTGAGGCGAGCGTATCATTGCGGAATACGAGCGTCCGCCGCGCAGCTTCGCCACGCCTGCTGACAAAGCCGCTGCAGCACTAGCAGACCAGGATCCCACTGATCCCCACCCCAGCCCTCGCCCCTTGAGCGACGAAGACGAGGACGAAGACGGCGCTCCTCTCGACTCCTCTCGTGACTCCCTCCTCAGCCCCACATCCTCCGGCGGCAACAACTCCGACGATGACGTGGTGGAAGTCACCAGCGATCAGCGCCACAGCCCTGGAATCTCCGGCCTCCACATCCTTGGCCCACACGGCGGTGTCCCGCCCGCCCAAGGCAGTTGAACCCAAAACCCCGCGTCAAGAGTCGGAGAGCCTTCTTCCTCTCAGCCGCCGCTCTTCTTCATGCACCTCCTCTTCACCCTGCACCTGCTCTTCACCCTGCACCTGCTCTTCTTCCTGCAGACTCTCCTGTTCCTCC